CGTCTTTGTGAATTAAACGATTTCCGTTGAAAAAGATAATACACCGCCCATTAAATCGATTGTTGTAAAATCTAAACAAACGTTGGTAGGTGTAAAATCCAAATCAAGTAAAGCCTATTATAAAGAATATGAAAAGTTGTTCCCATGGATGAATAGGAAGTTACTTACGAATACAGTCTTAAATGCATCCATAATGCTGGCATATATGAAGGAAATGTCAAAGGTATTAAAATCTTCTATATTTTGGTGCATTCATTCAAAACTTTAAAGCAATGCTGCGATTAAAAAGTGGAACAGATTTGGAAGCATACTCTAAATTACGTGCGTTTGTGAAAGCTTCAACCAAAGGATGGGTACAAAACTCAAAGAAATGTTCTGCATTTACAGAAAGCGACCTAAGAGAATTTTTTATTTCATCCAGATGACAGTTTCAAAAGTCATACTTGAAGTAACGTTACTTAGCAACTTTAAAGCACGTGTGTTTGAAAGGCCCTTTTTCGCACGCATTTGAGTGTTTAAAACGGAGATTGTGATTCAGGTATAATAAAAAAGAAATTGTGAATGTAGTTAGGTAAAACGAGATACCATCAAATTTTCAAATAAAATTCGGATAATGCGCCTATAAAATGTTGCTCAGATTCGAAATTTGTAACTTGTAACTTCACGGGTGGAGTGCCACTTGTAACACCACTTGCCTCCTCTCGAGTATACTGGAAACGCTCTTGAGGATGTGGGCATTTTACTTATTGGGAGGGCTTTTTCTATTTTTCACCTAACTAGGAATGAAACCGAAAACGTCAAAGAAAATTATTTCTTTGCGTACCTACTATCTATACCATTACACCGGGGTTTTTCCAGCATCTTAGCTTAAAAAAGACGCTACTGAGGCAAATATGTAACAAAGCGCTCGTTTTCCACCTTAAAGTTACCAGTTTTAGTGATCACTCTGTGGATGAACATCTGGTATCTAGAAGCGATTTAAATTGGGCGCGTCGGTACCAAAAGTGCGGTGCCGAAATTACTTGTGTTGGTTCTGGAAGTTGAAAATAAAAGGTAAAGGTAATTGTTTTCATTCCTAGAGTTGCGTTTGAGCCGCCGCGCCGATACCGCAATCACACACTGTAATTAATTCGCCGTTTGCCACGGTTCCCGTCAAGATATTTCAATTGTCTTTGTTGCGTCCGACAGCCATTTAGAAGACGAACGCAAATTAATCTTTTACAATCTCACCTCATTAAGTAATTATTAGATAGTTTTAATTTCTATTTTAATTTAAAATGAACATTAAAGCTGCAAGGTCATTCAGGTTTACGCGGGTATCCAGTTAAATAAGAGACCTTTTGCCGACCTGAGGGTTAATGTAGAAATATTATCACGCAAATTAAGTAAGGGTAGTTAGAGGAAGATACTTTCTCCGGCGTGTTATCTGTGGCTTCCGTTTCGCAACCGTTCCGAAACCTTGTCCAGGGGCAAGTCCGCATTTCTTGGTGGCGCTCGAGTCCGTCCGTCCGTCCCGCTCAGTCGGCCGTTTGAGTTGGAAGTGATTCATACTTAATTTAATTGTGAATGTATATAGTTTCTTTATACCTACTTAATTAAATTTAATTCAACTGATTACATATCATTGCAAATTTGCGGCCCCGGGGGTACTTTTTAGATGTTGGAACAAACAAATTTCGATGATGGCTTAAGCATCTTGCAATTGTCGTACAACACCACAATGCGCCATATCAACATCTGGTGCCCCCTTCACGAATTTCAATTCACCTGATCTAGATCCTGAATAGTATTTTGGCTTTCAGTATTAATTTCAGCACACTGATTCTTCAACTTTCTATTCAAATCTTTTTTGCTCACTTGATTAAACAGGGTGAAAAATTTATTTGAAACACTAAATATATCTCCAAAATAACTCTCTTTTAAAAGAAGCTTTTTATGGTATCCAAAATTATAAAAAGTTTGCTACCAATCTGCGTACTATAAATTTGTGGTCAGTGGTCAAAGGGAGCATATCTTTTTTAAATAGCAACCACTAGTTGCATTACGTATTCTTGAACAGTATGTTTTTTTCGGAAAGAGTAGCATAAAAAGGTTATTATATTATTACTCAATCAAATTTAAGAGAAAAACTCGAATTAAGAAAAATAGCATCCTTCATTTCTTAGTTAATTAATAATCGTCCACAAGATGGCGATTTAATAAAGTCGGAAATCTTTATCAATTTGTTGTTTAAATCCCGGTCTACAATCAAATAAAAGCTAGGATGATAAATCATATTTCAAACAAGCTAACTTAGGAAATCTCACGAGGCCGAAGTGAAATCATGCCGAATTTGCATTTCTAACTTAATAGCCATAATTAAAATGATCCCCACTGCAGACATCTAGTCCCCGAGGCTTCCGTAATACATTAAGTAAGAAAGCGCTATTGCAATTAAACGACGCAACCAAAGACATGTTTCATTTCCACCACGATTTACGAATAATAATGAAATACATTACGAAATCAACCCTTTAAATTTGGGCAAACTGTAAACCTCGGGTATGTAAAATGCTAATGCCTAATTGTTCTACCCTTAGATTTTTTTAGAATTTCTAACTTCGCAACGAAACGAAAAAAATGTTTAATTGCAAATTTAAATCTACCATTATAAAGTGAATCATGGAGGAATGGACTATAGGCCGGTAAAAGGTAAAAGGTTTGCTCCTATTTGAATCTAAAGAAACGGACGATTACCACAAGGTCATGTATATTGCTGTGTTTATTTCGTCTTACAGGATGAAATTTTCGGACATCTTAATTAAGATGGGACAAGGGCGGTTTTTTATGTATTAACATTTGTAATTAAATTTTATTAATTTGTCGTTGGTCTATGTAACGGCACGGAGATTATGGTCATAGGAGAAAGCGGTTAAGGTTGTTTTTGTTTTCATTTTATTTAGCGTGGAAATTTCTGGGAATTTTATTTGGCCTTTATCTGTTATCAATTGACAGGTGGATGTGATTTATCGCCTTTTCTGTGTAGTTAAGAGAGATGAAATTTTATTTTTTTCCTGGAATTTAAGTTTTTTACTATCTGATAACAAATTGATTTATAAAAATTACTCGACCTCTATTTTTTGGTTGTTATAATTTTGATTTTCGGAAGAAGGGTTTTCGCCTTAAATAGGACGTGAAGAAGGAAAGCGTCGCTTTTAGCCACGTTCAGCGCAGTGCTACCTACGTCTCGTTGAAGTTTTAAAATGGGCTTTGAGCCACAGTCAACGCAGAACTACGTTTCACAAATCACACTTTGAAGAATTTAAATCAGCTTTTAACCAGAGTTTGCGCCGTACTACGTTTCGTTGAAATCGGCTTTTTGCTACGTGCAGCACCAAATTACGTTTGTTAAGGTTTTGAAATCGACTCTTTGCTACGTCAGTACCTAGTTACTTTTCGTAGAAGAAGTTATTTCGAGTTATTTGCGAGTTCCATCGTGAATTATTTGTGTTGAAGCTACAGCCAGCATTGAAAGTTTCGCCTATTGTGAGTTTGAAGTTCGAAGAAGTTCCGTTTGCGTAGCCGGAAGAAGAATTCGCGGCTAGTTTTTGTTCTACGTTTTGATGTTTTGGCCATCAAAGGTGTTTTAAGGAGAGGTGTTTGTCGGCGCCCTCCCAAGTGTGTTCTCAACATGACTCAGTTTGAAGTTGAGTTTATTGGAAACGTTTTTGCCTACCCGACGAGAAGATGCTGCGATTACCCGGCCGTTAGTATAACGTGTGTTTTGTGAAAACTGTTTTTTGTGAACTGTGTAAGAATATCTTTTATTTGGACATTTCAATTCTCGAACAATTTTTATTGGATTCTTGCCCAAGGTCCATTTTAATTATTCAAAATTTTGCGGATCAGTTTGGAGTTTAAGGCATATGATTGGTGGGTTACCACCATCTGTTAGAAGTTAACAGGTTAACTGAGAGCAGAGTCGAATCTTCTTCTGTACTGGGGAAGTTTTGTGCCGTGAGTAAGGTAAAGAGCTAGCTAGGTTTTTGTTGTGGTCTTTTGTGTACGCTCTTTCTGGCCTACGGACCAGTGCACACAGCACTCTTATTTGGCGCCCAACGTGGGGCACACAGCAATATGAAAAATATTTTAAAGAAATACTATAATTGATTCCGGTAAGTTCAGTTATCTTTATATGGACAATGCCAAATACCATTCATGGCAGACAGAACAGCTTCCAATAACATCGCGGAAGGAAGATAACGTCAAAGAATTGCCGCTTAATAAAAAAATATTCAGGAAGACGCAAGAAATATCACAAAATTCATGCGGAAAACTGACGGAAATGCCTTCAACATGCGAAAAAGAAAGAACAAAGAATTTGGGACAGGGACAACGCTTTAGATGCGTTGGAGAAATCATTAATTTATTAACATATCTGCTGAAGACAGCTATAAGTATGAAGAAAAATCGACACACAGTTGACACTCATTCGTACATTTAAAACTTTATTCAGGAGACCCTTTCATACCCCTGTTAGTTGTTACTATGGTGCGGAATTTTCATATTTGTGCACTAGTAATCTTGGTTTGCGACAACGGTTTCCTTCGCATACAGATAAAATACATTCCTTTACAGCACGGTTACATGATACAAGTAGATCATATTATAGTAGAGCAACTTTTATATATACCCTGGAATAAGTTTTTAGAATCAAACGCAATATTCTCGTAACTAAACAGACACACCTTTAGATCTGCACCAATACCTAATATGCGGATTGCGATGGTTTTGCAGTTCATTAATTTAATAAGAGATTATATGCCTAAGTTGTGCAGTTGAAGCTGATGATGCTTATCACATTGTACAAAGTGGATCAATTAAACCCTATTGGATAACTACAGCTAAACGTGGAATGCATTGTATTGCTTTGTGATTAAATTCGTGTATTTTAAGCACCCACTGAATACCAGTAATTATGTATAAGCACTATGAGTAACAAAATCCCTTTTCATTTTCAGATTTGAAAGGGGACGTTAAATAAATACGAAGTCGCAGTCACAAATGGGAATCCAATTACGACACAATCTCGACTGTCATCCAGTGTGATAAACCCAGGCGTGCTGCGAGAACAAGAACACACTGGAGCTACAAAATTTAACAACAGATATACGGAATGTGAAAATTATGACACGTTGCTTGTTTCGTTAAATTTAACAGAGTTTTATCTAAGAAAACTGTCAAAACTTGTGCCATCGCCGCGTAACCGACGTGCGCGAGTTTACCCGTGCATTTGTTACGTGCGAACAAAGTGAAAACTTGGTACAGCTGCTGAAAACAATTGCAACTCCGAAACTAATAACCGAACCTCCTGGAAATTTATGGAACAAGTTCAAATGCGCTCGCCCACCTTAAACTCAATTTGGTAAGTTCGTTTAGGTTTATACATTTCATTAATCGCGGGGAGCTTTTGTCTCGGGTTCGTTTCAGCAGAGCCCATTCATTTTCCGAACTTCTTCTAATAAGGCGCTTGTCATTATTTCTCGGCAAGATTATATTTACCACGTAATTTGCCATCAATTTTGTATTACGGTTATTGTGTTGACGTGCGGTTTTGAGTTACACTAATCAATATCTGACTGTGACCGCGCTAATTTTATACAAGCTCATAAAATTGGACAATCAACTTTTTTATCGTAATTTACTGGGTAGCTTTATGATGAATGTTTTATCTGGATAATGTATTTTAAAGCGCTTAGAATTTCGTGCTTGGTTGATTTTGAATTCAGGTCCACAAAGTTATTTAGGTTCGACGCTTAGCTATAATATAATCGTCTAGATAATGCTTGCAGAGCTATATAACACAAATTTAACAAAAATAACTGCAGTTTTAGTTGTATATACTACTGTGGAACTGTTTTTTTGTTGCAACACATTGAGCTAATGTTTATGGGGTACCCACTTTGTTCTAAATGTATTTAGTTTCAGAAGCGTAAACAGGCTATATTGTTTTTTTGTGCGGAATGTTTGGTCACACATGCATATTTTGGCGCGTGTAAGGGTTTGCGTGAATCAACCTGTATATTCCATAGACATACCGTTCAGTCATTAAATCTGTTCCAACATTTATGTGAGAGAGATATCTATACAATAGAATACCGAGCATGCGTACTGAGTTGTCTGTCAAATTGACATTTCCGACATTTCATTGGCGTGTTATTTCCCTAGAACGTAAAGGGGTTTACGGTGTTACAGTAGAAAATGCGAGTAGTTTTTACGAAAGTAATAATTAAAATGGTGCGTTTAATTTGTGGTGAACGTAGCAGTAGAGAAAGGGCAATTTCATTCTATGCGTAAGTTACAAAATATGTGCTACGCAACTTAATATGAAGTGACCAATTTTTGCGACGCCTATGGTTATTAGTTGTTACCTGCGGATGCTACTGCGCATGTGTTCTACTACGGTGTAAAATATATCTCTGTCTTTGTTAGGTGGGGAGGTATGTTGGCACAGATGCTCCTTATTGAAAGTAAATGGGAGGCCATGTCTATGTATAGATGATCTAAGGCCGTAATAATCAGCCATTGTGATTCTTCACGAAAAAATGCGACCGCATAAATTCAGCTTCAACAAATTGCAGCGTTGTCGATGTTTATCAGCTTCAACAATTGCTGCTGCTGGGTCAGAAGTTTAGCCTAAATACAGTACTGAAATCACAGGCGGAAATTTGGCAACATACCGCAATGTCTGCATAAAAACTGCAACTATGTAGAAAAGAGACTGGAAGGTCTAACGATTTACGTTCTTCGAAAATCAAAATAGTAAAAGTGAGTGTGTGAAAATGTTTCAAATTGTAGGTTACGCCACTGATATAATGAAAAGATAACGCACCGCGGTAGATCATACATCCATTCGCACTTTAAGAATAAATCAAATCTTCGCCGAGCCAGTCCGAAAAGAGCGGCCAATACCTACTATCCGTTAAAATTTTCGAATGTGCACGAAGCGAAAGGAGGACTCGTCGTTTCTGTTCATTTGGCTCAAAATACCTAAACTATAACAATTAAATTAAAAACGCAACGAAGGAAGGCCGTATACTATCACGATAATTCGAGAAAAGAAAGCAATACAGATGCGTAGCCGTCCAAGGGGCTGAAAGGGACATTTTGTAAATCGTGCGTCATTCATATCGCATCTAGAACCCTTTAAAAAAATGCATTTGATGTCTAACATGAATAAACCACCAGAAATATCCCAAGAATAGTGATAATTGCAGGCTATTTTATAGTTTTGTTATTTTTTTAAATTTTTGAAAATTATTTGGAGTGTTCGAAACCCACTGCTTTGGCGTATAGCTACAAGGTGGCAAATTTGTTCATTGTCGACTTTCAAAGGGTCGGAGAAGCGCCTTTCACATAAAGACGGGATTAAATAAACTGATATTAAAACTCAGTGTGATAAAGAAAGAATTTTTATCGCTAGCACTAATGGCTAGTTAAAAAGTCAGTTCCTCAAAGTTGAGTGTCATTGGATAGTGCATTATACGATAAATAAAGCTTGGTATACAAATTTATAAACAATTAATCGGTGCATTTACCAAATTCGCAAAAATTAGATCAATACAGCGGAACATTGGAATTTTATTCCTGTGCATAATAACGATCTTCGAGTACTAATTTCTAGAGTTTACTTGTATTTGAAAGTAGCATTCCATTATTCCATCTAACAAAACACTAATGTTACCGGGGCAGAAAGTCAACTGTATCATCGAAGCGATCTATTTCCATATATCTAAAGGAAGCCGCATCTTCAAAGGGAGGATAAGACCAATTTGTAACCAGAAGAGAATATTACATATTATTGATTTGTATAAAGTAGCGGTCGATTAGTTTTAGGGATTTGCATATTAATTTTGTTTAAAGCAATTTTAATACCCATTCCTAAAGGAGTCGACCTATGAGAAACATTTTCATAAACATTTTCATAAACAGATGTCTATTACTTTTTTTGCCTCTTTAGTGACAGGATATAAAATAGGTGGTGTATTTTCCGAGGGAAGACAATAAGTAGCGGGGTTAACACGAAAGCAAGAAGAACATTGCCTACCAAGACAAACAGTATTGTTAGCTCACATTTTTATTCAAGAAAGAACACATATGAGAGCATTTTTGTAGTGTAAACGTGGAGTGGTAAGCAGTTAAAATAAACATTTGTTAAACTACTGTCGCATCATTTAGCATGAATTTAAATGAACATCATAAATGTAAAGTTAGTTAGAGTTGATTAGACTAATGAAGTATGAAGTTGAAAAAATCGGCTTTGAACTTTACATTTTACTGTATAATACCGCGATAGTAACTGACAGCCGGGTAGCAATAAATTGCAGGGGACGCAAGAGGTGTGGCCGGATTGGTCGTGGTCGAAACCTCAACCAGGTGGCGGAAAATAATAACGATAAACAGATGTGGGTACCTAGGCATTCCGCCGTTAAGGTTGACGTAATGGCCGAAACCCATGCAGCAACAGTTTTAGGATCTCAACCGGCATAAGGAATCGTACATTGTATAATATAGAAGGACATAAAATAAAAACCATTTTAAAAGAATGACTGAGTGGATACATTGGAAACATCCTAGATCTTTATTTACATGTTTGCATAGAGGTAGATTTCCATCGCGGTCGTTCCATTCATGAAATATTTATTTCTGAATCGATTCAATTATTTACAGACAAAATATTGACATAGGTTTTGACAAGAGGGTTAGTTACTGAGACAACATTAAGAGATCGATAGTGGGCGATAGGAAACTTAAACGATTGGTACCTGTAAATAATATAATAGATACTGTTCAAATGTCGAATTCAATTACTCTTTTTAATGATATATTAAATATGACGTTGAGATTAAGGTGTACACGATTATCTTTGTACTTACAGGTATGTCCCCTTTATTTGTAGGTACATAATCCATGTAATCCACCGATTAATCAATAACGTTGTATTTGAAGAGGGATTCAATATAATTGCTCGGTAACAGATTTAAGGTTACATTAGAACACATTAAATTGTGTTTAATTTCAGTTCCAATATCGATCCAGTAGTGATAAATAGTAAAATTCGCGCTCTTGCTATAAATTTACATGGTACAAATTGCAAGTTTCATCAGTGAGTCATAAGATTTGGCTTTATATAAAGTGAGTAGATTTAGAATCTAATAGGGGCGGTGCAGCTTTTCCTCTTTGCTACTATGGCGGTAATTAATTATACGCGTTTATGGTCACTTGGTGGATATGGGAGGCGGATGAGTTGCTTACTTGTCCGCTACTCTCTTCCTCTCCCGTTTCTTTAAAATAATTCTCTAGAATACTGAAGAAATTGTACAAAGTGGTTACTCGTAATTCTCAAACATTTGAGTGTTTGTAGTGCCTCCATTAGCTATCAGGGCTCTATAACCCCATGACGCGCGCCAATATTTGTAATCAACAAACGCGCCCGCATGCATGCGAAAATTGACCCTTCCCTACAACTATTTCGGAATATGAACTCAGTTTAATCACGATTTTGTTTAAATTTTTTTCATATAAAAAGGGATACCAATTCAGCGGAGTTGGTCATTACGTTAACGTTAAACTTAACGTGCAGGTCATCTGTGGAAATCGCTATTTTTCCTATACTGAATAACGAAAAATAACGTTGTTTGGCAGATAACCTGAATGTTGTTTTAAAATTCAAAAAGTGCTGCTTGCCATGGAAAGTAAGAACTTTCACCAAATCGACTCCCTCGCCCCACCGCGCTCATTCGTCTTGCGAGGCCGAACGCTTTTTTTTATTGCATAAGTCTAAAAGTACCTAAATGAAATAAGGATCGTCGCCTGTATCCCAACGAAAATTTCTGAATCGTTCGTTTGGCCCGCCAGTTAAAAACGTTGAGCTTTATGCTGGCGACACTGCGGGACAATAGTTACCCTGTAAGGAAAGTTTCAGCCAAACCACCAGCCTCTGTGGTCTGCTAGGGAAAGCTAGCGGAAGTGATGTCTAGTGAAGAAAAAGGATACGACTAGAGAACTGCTGCGGCATTCGCCTCGATTTCTACATAAAAATGCTATAGCTATACGAGTATACGTATCCCTGAGGAAAACTTCCTAACAAAACTCCAGACACAGTAGTCGGCAGCGGGATTCGAACACAACCTCCCGAATAAATTCTTATTGGCGAATTCTGTAAGCGGTCCGTGCGTTGTGTTTTTGAACGAGGTTTTTTAAATAACGGGTTATCGATTTCTTTCATAAATCTACTGACTTTGTTTCCATTTAACATAGGTAAGGTACAGTCGTTTTTTTCAAATATAACCATGGTTTTTTGTGCAAATAGTATGGTAATATTTAGATATTTTGATTTGAATTAAAATAAGGGTCGTAAAAGTT